ATGATACCATCTGGTGTGGTGTTGAGGGGGCAGCCAATGGAGTCAGCTAGAATCACAATTACAAAAATTAAGCACCAAAAATGCTACAGACAATTTACCTCTGTAGAAATCTGTTTGTGATTATTTGCATCTGTTTTTTCTTTTGCTGCTGGCACACTAAACCCTACCACCGGCCAAATATTTGTTTTCCTTTTAGTTAAAAAGAAAGAGGTAAGTCAGTTGAACAAACCAATTACAAAATGCTCAGAGCTGAAGTAGCTTCACTGACAGGTAAATGGAGTCCCCTAACATTGTGCTACAGTTGCTCATTGCCAATGACTGTTTCCTTTGTACAAGGTATGCTACACTTGGTAAATCTAATAAGTTGACATCGTTGGCGTGCACTGTCTTGCAGTATCCCCCATAAAAGGCAGTCATGAAGGTTTTCCACATTTAGAAATGTTTCATGAACCTTGGACTCTTCTGAATTAGTTTCAAAAATACCACAATAAAACTGCATTACTAGTTTTAATGTTATTTTATATAATTCAATATAACAAAAGCATTTTTCTTTTAGACGTTTAAGGTTTTTGCAGGACACTGGCAACATGGGGATTATATTTTACTGCACAAACAATGTATGGAAAACATTTTAATGCTCAGTAATTTTCCAATAACTGGAGGATGTGAACAGTCGAATACAGAGGTTGTGTGTATATTTAACAGGGCATCTTGAACCAAGGTATCTTTGTACATAAAGACACATAACAACATTCATTAGAGCAATAAGTCAGTCAAATGCATATTCTGATAATGAGCTAACAGTGATACAAAGACCTGGTAGTCATCATAATGAGCTGTATTATTAGAACTTTGATCATGGGGACTTTCCTTTAAGCTTTACCAAAATACAACATTGCTGTAGTGATCTTCTTTCTGGGTGTTGCAAAGCAAACAGATACACACATAATGTGTTTAACTGGCAGTATAACAGTAGATCTTCATGTGTAAATATGGTGTTCTGTAGCTTAATAACAGTGATTTCAGTATCTTCGGGAAAAAAAAAGAGTGCACTCACAAAACAATAGCATTCAATGGTAATAACTATACAGCATTGGTTGCATAAATAAATAAATAAATAAATAAAAATCTCAGCTGAATTAATAGTTGCGTTTGAATAGTGTGAATAACAGATTTCGTATAACAGTGAAACACTTAAACAGTTAAGTGAAAGAACAGTTCAGTGCACTAGATCAACATATTTTGGAAAAGACAGTTTGGTTGGAAGTCTGTGAGAATATTAACAGCTACGATTTGGACTTGAGAATACATAAACACACCATTATACTGTCCCAGCAGTTCCCACTTCCCACTTGTGTATGAGCTATGAGCGCACCTATGTGTGCAGCCTTGTCTTCGGCTGCTTGAAATAGTCGACCGCGTGAGTAAGACTTGCAGGCAGGCATGAGCATCTTTTTATATTGCTTGGCTGGAGAATCAGTGCAACAGATGACAAATTGCACCTGAGAAACTTTTTAATTAAAAACATTTTGCCAAGCGCAGCGCGAATGTCCTTTGTTAATGAGTTCTCGGTACGGTGCTTCAGCTGAGATTAAGGCTGGGCAATATATTTATAGTATATGGCTATTGTGATATGAGATTAGATGTTGTCTTAGATTTTGGCTATTGCAGTATCGTGAGAATTCTCTTTGTGGTTTTAAAGGCTGAATTACAGTAAAGTGATGCAATTTTCTGAACTTACCAGACTGTTCTGGTGTTCTCTTATTTGCATTTACTCACTTAGTCATTATGTCCACATTTTGACCACATGTCTTGATATTGATATTGCGATGATTTTGTAAGGTTGACTATTGGTGCTTTCACAAAATATTTGCAAGTGAGATTTTTTGATAATCATCAGTAGTGTGGAGCACTTAGTGGGTAAAAGCAAATAATAGAGCAGCTAGAAGATACAAAAATTACGATATTGAAAATTTTAGATGCTGTATAGCCTCATATAATATCATATATTATATACACTGTTCAAATAAATGAAGGGAACACTTAAATCACACATTGATCTTGATGAACTAATTATTCAAGTTGAAAATCTTTACTGATGTGCATTGTGTAATTTATTGAGAACAAAATGACGGAACAACGGTCAATAGAAACCAAAATCATCAGCCCACTGAGGGCTGGATTCAAAATCACGCTGAAAATCAAAGTGAAAAAACTCAAATCAAAGGCTGATCCAACTTATGTTAATTTTATCACAGCAACTCATAATGTGACTCAGTCGTGTGTACGGCCCTCGCGTGCCTGTATGCAGTCCTGACAATATTTAGGCATGCTCCTGATGAGTCAGTGGATGGTATCCTGGGGGATCTCCTCCCACACCTGGATCAGGGAATCAGTGAGCTCCTCGACAGCCTGTGGTGGTACTTGGTGGCATCGGATGCACGATGCATGATGTCCCATAGGTGCTCAATTAGATTAACGTCAGGGGAACAAGAATGCCAGTCAATGGCATCAATGCCTTCATCATCCAGGAGCTGCCTACACACTCTGGACACGTGAGGCCGGGCATTGTCCTGCACCAGGAGGAACCCAAGGCTCACTGCACCTGGTCTGACGATTGTTCTGAGGATTTCATCCTGATACCTAACAGCAAGCTGAGTACCATTGGCTATGACATGGAGGTCTGTGCGACCCTCCAACGATATGCCTCCCCAGACCATCACTGACCCACTGCCAAACCAGTCATGCTGGATGATGTTACAGGCAGTATAATGGTAACCACGGCATCTCCAGACTCTTTCACACCTGTCACATGTGCGTGGTGTGAACATGCTCTCATCTGTGAAGAGAGCGGGGCACCAGTGGCAGACCTGCTAATTCTGGTGTTCTCTGGCGAATGCCAATTGGGCTGCATGTTGCTAGAGGACCACTAGAGGACATCAGGCCCTCATGCCACCCTCATGGAAACTGTTTCTGACAGTTTGGTCAGAAACATGCACACCAGTAGCCTGCTGGAGGTCATTTTGTAGGGTTTTGGCAGTGCTCCTCCTGTTCCTTCTTGCACAAAGGAGCACATACCGGTTCTGTTGCTGGGCTGATGCCCTTCTGTGGCCCTTTTCAGCTCTCTTCATGTAACAGTCTCCTGGTATGTCCTCCATGTTCTTGAGACTGGGAGACATAGCAAACCTCCTTGCCACCACAGGTATGGATGTGCCATCCTGGAGGAGCTGGACTACCTGTGCAACCTGATTAGGCTGCAGGTACCACCTCATGCTTCAAGTAGTGACAAGGACACCAGCAGAACACAAAACTAGAGAGGAATCAGTCAGGAAGGATAAGGAGAGAGCAACTGTCATGTAAAACCATTCCCTTTTTGGGGGTTGCCTTGCTTTTGCCTCTCCATTGCACCTGTTGTCACTTTAATTTGCACCAAAGCAGCTGAAACTGATTCACAATCACTTGTGATTCCTAAATGGACAGATTGATATCCCTGAAGTTTATCTGACTTGGTGTTATACTGTGATGATAAGTGTTCCCTTCATTTTTTTGAGCAGTATATCATATCATATATAATATCAACGTATTGCCCAGCCCTGTGTGTAAATATTTTGTGAAAGCACCAACAGTCAACACTACGATATTGTTGCAATATTGATATTGCGTTATTTGGTCAGAAATATCATGATACTTGATTTTTTTAATATCACCCAGCCCTTGCTAAGATAATTAGTTGTGACCAATATTAAAACATATATCTTCAATAGTTAACTAAAACATCACTACAGCAGGTAAATATTGTTATAGTAAAGTATAGTATAGGGTTGATCAAACAAAAAACGTTTCATATGTCTTAAGTTGACCCATTTATTTGAGTAATAACACACAAAAAAACCTTTACTATACTTAACATTTTTACACTTATCCTCATGACAGAAGTTCATTAACTGTTATCCTCCAACACTGGAAACTGTTACTGTACCACTAGTTTCAGACTGTCCAGTCCAGATACATTCAATAAGTGTGAGATTTGGAATTAAACCATACACATTTTAATAAAAGCTGAGAGCTTTAACTATGATGCAAACTCTACGCCTCAATCTTTACACTGACAAGACTTTTGTTGGGGGTGTAATGTATAACTAAGACCAATCACTGTTCTAATACTGGGGCTTCAACTACAGTTTGTTCTACAGCAGGATAACCACACACATGCTGGTACTGATGAGAGGCACTATTACACCAATACGACACTGGTTCAACACTCTGCTGCTACTTCTCCTACAGAAGTAATCATGGAAACATATCAGTAGGATGTCTGTTGGCAGTGACTTGGTTCGAATGCATTTGTCCTTCAAAATGAGACATCTACAACTTTAAAAAGTGACATTACATTCACAAACTGAAGTCTTTAGTCATTTAGGTTAACAGCAACACTTTCACAGACTCATTTATCTATATATTTGTTATTTTCTTTAGAAATACGCAATGATAAACTTAGCTTATGAACCTCTCCAAAATGGATGTAAAGCATTTTGGAAACCTGAATAACTAAATTTTGGACAACACTTATGTGTCAAAGTCTGTTTCTTATATGAAAACAATTCTTATTTAGATCAGTGACAGTCATGGTCATTAATATTGTGTTTGACCAACTGATATTGCTCATGTTTTCAAGGTGGACTGTAGACATTTTGTTCTGATAATCAAGTTTAGCAAAGTCAGTTATCCTCTGCGTTCTTCCCGATTAACTTGTGTAATAAACTGAGGACTAATAGATCTTTTGTTTCAAATAAATACATCAACAAAACAGCTAGAATTTGAGTTGGTTAAAATTATTCTGGTCATTTCCCCAAATTTAACAACCCTGGATGATGCACTTGATCCAACACCTCACATTGCCAAATATTTTAATTATCAACAGTATTTGTACATTTTCCGGTAAAATGTAACCACTCAACCTTGATTGGATAAATAAGAAAGGTTTTCTCCTTTAGACAACAAAATTATACAATATGCTTTAATGTTTAGGTCCATTGATATCTCAGTAAATACTGACAACAGTACTGTATGTGTCATGTCTGTGTTATATGAGTTATGTTTTGTTTTTTGTTTTAGCAGTTGGATTATACGAATACCGATGGAACATATTCATCACTGTGCCCTCCTGCAGAACGGTAATTGATACTGAGTCCTTTGATAGTACACTTCACCTTTAGGTGGCATCTTAAATGATGCCCATCACACGCACAGCTGCACGTACAGTCCATGCTGATGTCTGACAACACCACCCACAGTCAGCAGCTCCTGCCTCCCTTTGACGCAGACTCCTTTTTAAGCCTGGTGCTCAGACATTCCCTCATACTGTCACTTCTGTCTTGCTGTTGGTGACAAAGTACGGTTGCGGAGGCAAGTAACGAGTGGTGTGCAGCTCCTTCTCTATGATGCAGAGTTTCTTTGGGCCATAGCTGTGTCGGAGGCCCAGCATGTCCTTGCTCTCCCAGGATCTTAGCACCCCCGGGCTGACGGCAGTGTTGGAGCCGTAGCACAGCGACTGGGCGCTGCGGCTCTTGGGGCTCTTGTACTTGTGTCCATTCTGTTTTGACGACAGCTGTCTGGGCGGGCTGTAAGGATTGCTCGGCTCCGGCTCCATGTCCACAGCTTCCATGGGAAGGCTGCCCTTGGTTGTCATCTCAATCACTTGCCGCCGGTTGCTGTAGAAGCTGTCATTAGCTTTCTCTGCTAACAAATACAGATAAACAATATGATAGGTCTTTGTCATTTCTTTTTCATTCATGAGCCATTGCATTGTGTGCTGAGTGCAGAGCTACACAGGCAGATAAAAAATAGATCTGAAGTTAAATTTTGTTCAAAAATAAGTAAAAAAAAAAACAACAAAAAACAAAGAGAGGGGACAAGTAGTCCAACCTCACATCATCAGGCATCAACTAACTCACATTGATCATTTTATACACATGCTGTAAATGTGCATAACGTTACACATAAAAAAAAAAAAAAAAAAAAAAAGGAGAAGCGGAATATATAAACTTAGAGATGAAATCCAGCCTTTATTCATTATAAATCCATTGTAAACCTATATTTTTAGTTACTGCTATAATGAGTCGAGCACTAAATCCTATGAATTCTAGAAATCCTGTCAGTTGTTCCCAACTGATGGGTCTCAGTCCAAAAGTGGGTCGCGGGTCCATTCTAAATGGACCACAATTAACTTGAAAATGTGTCAAGTTAGTAAAAAACACACTTTATTTATAAGTACAGATAATTTACGGCACAGAGCTTTTGTTCTGAAGTGCCATATCCTGCTGTAGAGAGTAAATAACATATAGCCACTTAACAGATGCTGTGTCTCAAATCGCATACTTCCGGTAGTACACTTCCACGGAGTATACACCAGTATACACTAGCTGTCTATACACCAAGAGACAGCAAACTAGCTCAACAACATGGCCAAACATAAGTATGACGCTGAGACTGTTTGGACCTTCAACTAACAACAAGACTTAAAATCTTACCTACCTACCTAGACACTGGCTTGCCTATCTACTAAGAGACTAATTCTTTTAAACTAGAAGAAGCGTAAAGCAGCCTGCTTCACAAGGGACTCTTGGCTGAAGGAATATCTGGACTTACTAAACATGGAACAGGCAGCCTGCCTGTTAAAAGACTTTGAAAAGGGGCTGGAAGACCACTGGGACACTGTCCTTACACTTTTGAAACAGTTGTTCTGTTAATTGCTATTCCTGTGTTTTTCCTATCTGATTTTCCCTTGTTAAATGTACGTTAAATCTAAAAGAAAGAAATAACAATAAAACTGTTTATAACAGAAAATCTTGTTTACTTTACTTGAAATAATAGAGATGATAGATAATGTTGTATTTGCATCTTTGCAAGGAACTCTGTCTATTACTGCCTTATCTTTGATGTGTTACTCAACTGTTTTATGAGGATAATATTAACAGTAAATCAAAATATAGATTAAATGATTTTTTTTATGCATTTCATCAGCCCCGCAAATGTCTGCAGGCATTCATTTCGGGTTGCATACAGCCCTAACAGCCTCCATCAACCAGTTACAGGGCAGTCTGGGGCGAAACCCAGGGCATGGGTGCCCAGGGCCTGCACCACTCATTAACACGTCACAACGTAATGACATGACATGTCATCCCCAGTGGAAATTATGCCCTTGGTGCACAGTAATGTAGTGTGGAATCCTAATAGTGTTGTGTAAGTTGTGGTAGCTTTAAACAAACTGTTACAGGAAGTCAAAAATAGACCTCTCTACATATTTTTTTTTTTAACATTTCCTGTCAGCCTTATTAATTAAAAGACTGCAAATATATTGTGTGAGAGGTCAGTTAATAATTAAGCTCCAACTACATTGAGTATTTGTTGATATTCCAGTATATGGGATTATTTTAGTACAACTCCAGCTGAGGTGGCGTGCAAGTAGATCGCTGCATAGTATATCTTGTCTTATGACATTTGTCTTGCCTTAATCAGCTGCTGTAATTTGCTCATAAAACAACTGCAGTGTGATTTTATGTCTCCAATCAGGTGCAGACAATGTATGAAAACAGCACTCACTTGAGCACTAATTGAGCCTGAGCACACCAAGCTCCAGCAATAGCCTTTTCTACTGTAACATTTCTGACTTTTTTTTTTTTTTTTTTTAATGAAATGTTTCCCAGATAACCTTTAATGTGGTCTCTTCATCAGTAGCAAGCTGTAGCTGTGCTCTGGGTCTCATTTCATGGTACAGGAAAGAGATGTAGTAAAGACAGCAGCAGCTTCAGTAAACCCACATCAGTGCTGGTAGATGAACACACACACACACACACACACACACACACATATATATATATATATATATATATATTAGTACCACAGAGGCTCATGTGGCTCACCGTGTACAGTATAGATGCATCTCATCACCACTCCCCAACTCATCTGTGTTTTGATTGCTCCTGATTGTCTCCTGTCCCCAGTCTCATTATCTAAGATTTGCTCTATTTTTATTTTCCCTAATGATCAGTTTGTTTGACAGCGCTTCGGCGTATTAGCAGCGGAGAAGCTTCAGCTGCTAGCGTGGATCACAAAGGGCCGTTTTATGTGATTGGACCTACTACACGCATGCTGGTAGCTGCCGTCCCCTCTGTGGCCACGTCTGTCAAATACAGCTAATTGATTCATCTATTAAAAGAGACTCCCGTTTCGCAGCGCTAAATGGCATCAAATACAGATCCACAAATACCTTCACTCCATACTTTGATCCTGCAGATTTTTTTTCATTTATTTTTTCTCCACTAAATTTTCAAAGCAAGGCGTACAGGCAAAAAAACGACTGTCGGTCAGAGTGGAGTCAGTGAAATTTAAGACTGCTTGTTCTTTGAAATACAACCAAAATCAATATGAAAGGCAGTGGAATATAATGTATTTAAAATACGGCTAAATTCTTGTTTTTTAAAATTATGAGACAAATCAAATCTTTAAGTTTAAATATTACCAAAGGGACCTCTAAATGATGGAATTTGGTTTTAAAGTTTGCACATAGTGTAAAATTTAGTGGTAAAATGATCTAGCAATTGATCACCAGTGATGGTACTTGGTTATCAAGTATGCCTGACTATACTCACCCATTGGCTGTTATGGTATTTTCATATCAGCATAAACACATACTATTTTCATAATGAACCTAAAATGATTATTTCATTTTATTTTATGATTTGCATTAATTTATTTTCACTTCCATCCTTTGACACTACAAACGTGTTTTTCTTCAAGACCTAAACACTTTGGCATCGTCTCGCTGATTGATACTATTTTGGTATTTGCTATTATTTCTTGTCTCAAATGCTGCTTGTCCAGGCACTGTCTGCAGACTTTCCAAAATTAGCACATGAGAAGAACAACAAACTTGCGTCTATAAATAAACTTCCAGTCCCCCTCTCTGCTGGCATTGACGGACTACGGATTAACTGACAAGGATTTTCTGTAAGCGGGAGACTTGATGGAAATTTGAATCAACTCCTATTTAAACAAAGACGTACGTGTCATTTCGAAGCACATATATGACAACACGTGTTGTGTAAACAGGATTCTTGCTGCACCTGAAGATACGAAATAAAAGACTGAAAAATGGCCACTTTGAGAGAGATGGCAGTGAAGCTTTACTAATAACTGCAACTAGCAGAACATTTTAATAACATAGTTTTTGTCTGTTGAGACAATTAATGTTTAAAACAGAATTAACCACAATTGGGATTCCATGAAACATTTTATGAAGCGTTACAGATGAATTTTCTGCCTCATGAACTTACAAACGCATCCTCATGATTACTCAGATTACAGGTTCAGTTGTTTCCGGTTCACTCAATTAAACCTAAACTCTTCTCCTTATAAGACCCTGATTAATTATGCCTGTTTTATTTATAAAGGATGTAATGGGCTGTTTAATCAGATCAAATGATGAATGGCAACGTCTGGTTCATCATGACGGCACATCTTAAACAATTTCTTACCCACAGCCTTAAGCGTGGCGTACTTGTTGAGATCCTTGACAGGCTTCTGTTGTTCGTAGGGGCTGGTGATCTGTCCCACGAGCGGGTAAGGCTGAGCTATCAAAGTCGATGCTTGAACCACGTTGTTCATCTGGTTGCTATCTAAAGGAGGGAAAACACACGCTGTTAATGCAGAAATTCAGTGTATGTTGTTTATAGCGACAAAATTCCTTTTGATCGATGTGGTAATACAGTATGTTCAAATCAAGTGTGTATATACCGTTTGCTTTAGCTATTACAAAATGTGATTAAAAATACATTTAATATTGTATGTTGAAGTACATACAGTAGTAAATGTAAAACTGTTTAAACTGGCTTGGTTTCCTGGATGTGACTGTTGCATGAGCCGAGGATATAAATCAGCTGGATGGATGGATGTGAATATAGAATAATTGTTTCTCTAACCGGGTAGTGTCACTTTGCCTTAAGTAGACTTTTCTGGGGACCCAGCTGGAGAGTCATGACTGCTCTTTGTGAAACTGTACTAATCCTACAGTAGACATCTGGTAAATTAAGGGGTTCACAGCAAAGAGACTGGCCCCCTGCCTACTGGCATGACAGAGCAAACAGATGTTCAGAGTGTCTTCTCTGGAGGAGATTAGTGGAACGTAACAATTCACAGGCAGCGGTTTGAAGAATGCTGCATGTGCTGTGTGTTATATATATCTGAGAAGAGATATCAACATGTTTATATAACACGCGATACTGATAGATTTGTGCATTGATTACTTACTAAATCACAGTGACGGTTGGTTATATTAAAGGGGGGCTTTTATGCTTTTCCTTATTTCCTGTCAGAGATATAATGATACAATATTGGTTGATCATATTAAATGTGGTAATAATTTACATACTTTGCAGTCTCAGATTAATAACACAAAATATAATCAAATAAATGATGTAATTTTAACATATCAATTGAGATTAAACTTTACTGATCTCTGTTTCAGTTTTTTCTACCTTTGAGACAAGCTCACATTAGCTCTTGAGGGATTTTTATGGAGTATTCTGCTGTGTTTGCATTATGTAGCCTACACTGCTACATGTAGCCACATGCTAATGTCAGGAAAACATATAATCTTGGTTGCTGATGTTGTTAATGTGACCTTGATTTTGGATCATATTCCTGCTGTAACAGGTCTGGTTGTGAAGATGTTGGTTTTATCTGTGATTTTCCATGGTAGAAAGCACTGCTACACTCATTAGCAATCATTCCTCAACTTCAAGTACACTGCTACATGTAGCAACATACTAATGTAAGGGAAACATATAATGTTGGTTGCTGATGTAGTTAATTTTGCCTTGATTTTGGATCATATTCCTGCTGTAACATGTCTGGTTGTGAAGATTTTGGTCTAGAAGCTTTTATTGGTATAAAAAGAAAAAAAGAAAAAGTCTCCTTTAGGTAGTATGACCAGCAAGAAATTCAGCACCAACTACAGAATGGATGTCTGTACATATGCATATAGTGCAAGTACACAAATGTTGTTTGTCCAACCCATTATGAACAAGTATCTACACATACATGCAAACACTTGAGGCCATTCTTGATAAATAGGACATAAATGGTTGCCATGTTTTATCAAAGATTAGAGAGCTGAGGTAAACACTGTATCTAACTTTCTCCATGTGTAACAAGTTGGTGATTTCTGCCAACCAGGTTTTAAAAGAAGGCACATCCTCAGTTTTCCAGAGTTAAATATTCATTTTTGCCACAGCCATGCCATGTTGTATTGTCTTTTGTTGCAAGTGGGATAGAGGTAATAGAGCCACTATACTCATTTAAAGTCATTACTCGATTTCAAGTGCACTGCTACATGTAGCGACATGCTAACATCAGGGAAATGTATAATCTTGGTTGCTGATGTTGTTCATTTTGCCTTGATTTTGGATCATATGCCTGCTGTAACATGTCCAGTTGTGAAGATTTTGATTTAAAAGCTTCTATTGGTGATTTTCCACTGTGGAGGATGCCGCTATACTCATTTACAGTCATTCCTTGACTTCAAGTACACTACTACATGTAGCAACATGCTAATGTCAGGGAAACATGTTATGTTGGTTGCTGTTATTGTTGACTTCTTCCTGATTTCAGATCAAATTCCTGCTAGGACCAGTTGTGAAGATTTTTGATTAGAACCATTTATTGGTGAGTTCTCAGGGCAAAAAGTGTTGCTATATTCCGTTCTAGTCATTCCCCTGTTCACAGTGATGGTTTAGAGACTCCAAGATTGCAGATAGGGAAGACCCTGAAAGCCTATCAATCAGAGCAGACTGGGCTTTTTCAGGAGGGGGGCATACAGAGCTAAAATGGAAATACAGTTGCTCCAGCACAGACAGTGTGAGGGAAATAATGTCTTGAGCATTTAAAGCGTGTAAACATGTTCTAGTAGAAGATAAGAATGACACTGAAAATGAGCGTAATAGGTCCCCTTTAAATATCCTGCAGGCTGTGAATCAGCACTCCTGTTGATGTAAAAGGTAACCTGACTCACAGGAATTAGCACTATTAATCCACTATGAGTCCAGCACCAATAACTTCAATATGAACCTTACAAAAATAACCATCAACTCATGATTGCCCTTGCTAATGGTTAAAGTTTACAAACTTTATAAATTGTGGGGAGTCCACTAGTCCTTGGTCTAGAATGTGTCTGATAAAAACAGATCATTAATACAGAAAATAGGTTAATTAGGCTCTTATTCCCCACTGGTCAGCAAGAAACTTTATTACTGTGCTAATTAATTTCTGAAAGTCTCAAATTATCAATGCTGTCTCATGAAATGATACAGAGGACGGCTTTGACAATCCTTTTCACTCCACCGAACCTCAACAAGGGGGTGGGGTGACGAGTAAAATCAGATTTCGAGGTCATGTAAGGTAGCAAAAGACTGATGGTGTCACGGTGTTCTCTTTATGATAAGGCTGTCTTTATAACAAGCTCCTGTGTTATCCAGCCTTATTGGAAGCCTTATTAAAAACTGTAGGCCTTGAGAAAGGCTGCACAGTGCGTTCACGTGTACAGGTAACTTATTAAGCTCAGTAATGGGTCGGTCTTAATAAACCAAAATTTCCAAATGCTTTACTTCCCTGCATCAAATCTGTCTGTGTTATCTTGTCGGGTTCCTTTCTGGGCTTGTTGACCTGTTTCAGTTTCATATAATTCACCATAAGTGGGCCATGCACACAGGCTCTCATTCAGTGTGATCTTCTTTAAGCTAAAAGTCACATTAGATGATCTGCTTCCATAGAATACATTGCACGTACCTCACAAAGGATAACTGCTTTTTAGGACATCCTGGGAACATACAGTATGTTAAACACATGTTTTCTTTCAGATAATCTCATTCAACCATGGACAACTATTCTTATATTAGCCGAACGATCCACTCTGGAGCAACTTTGTAAACTAAAGCGTTTGAGTGGTCACCTGACCATTGTGCTCATCTGATCCTCCAGTCAAGGTCAGGGTCAGGGTATCCCCTTTAAAGGCAGAAGCCACAGACAGTAAATAATTCAAATGATGATCGATGTACACTGAATGCTTCGGCCAAACTGTTTTGTATCCCAGTATATTCAGAAACTTTATTTTTTGAGTGCGTCTGAATGTCTCAAATGTCCTCTATATATAGTCTTAAGATGATAATAGATTTCACTACATCTCTTAAATGAGGACAGTGCTTTTTGTAAACGTCTGCTGCAACTTTGCTATTTTCAGGATGCCAAGCCCAATTTAAACCGAGGGGTGGTTCATGTCCTTGTTTATCTCCCCCTTTAATGTTTATCTGACTTTGTGATAACCGAGTGTCGTTTGTGCTTGTACTGTTGTCAGAGTCACAGCTTTTATGCCTGCTGCTGGAAGAAAGTAGGCCACTTCTGGAGACTTGTAAGGTTAAAGACTCCATGGTTGTTGCGGGAAATAAGCGAGTTAACACTCCAGACACAGACACCACCCCGGAACTCATAAAAGATTTAAGAGAGTATTTTGGGAGCTGTGTGCCCCGAAATAAATGGTGCAAGGAGAAGGGCGCTCTTATTTACAGGCAGCCTACTTTCAAGTTAGTGGTGAAAATATTCTATTATCTGAGAGTCAATATCTCTCCACTTCTGTCAGACTCCAGAAACTTTGTATGAGAGCATTATTTGTAACTGTTAGTTTACCTAAGTACTACGAATGTGTACACTGTTTGATAAAACACCTTTATGGACAATGAATTAACCTACTTACTGATTATGTAAGAACTGTTTTGAGTAATTCGTGGACAGGCTCTTATGTGTTCCATTATGTCGTACAAAATCAAGATGTATAAAGCATGTTGGAAGTGTGTAAAAAGACAATACATAAAATACTTTATTTTGGTGTGATGCAGTTAATATAAAGCAATCAGAGTACACAGTTCTTTAATAAGTTAATCATTAGCTTGACAAAGTCATTCATGCTGTTTGAAAACTGATAGTTTGTTCATGAAGCATTAACAAGTTTATACAAAGGCTCATTTTTCTTTATTAATTGTGAAGACCAGACACATTTCCTGACCAAAAGCTTATTATCCCAAAGCAAATTAAAAGTATCAGTCAAAATATCTTAATTATCTAAAAGAGACAAATTCAGCTGCATTTATGCCTGTAGCCTGATACAATCTGATATAGATGATTAGACATTAGTGAGAGGAAAACATGCACCTTCACATTTATAACACTGCTGCTACACATGAGCTCCAAACATCACAGTATTCATAACCATTTTTGAATGGCAAGTCCAAAGTATTGCACACTGCATGAGCCCTATTTAGCAAATGTATGTTATAGGGGTGTAATGATCGATCTGGATCAATATTTCAGTTAAATGATCAACGATCCAATGTCATCGATGCAAAGTGAAAACATCGATCCATATTGTTATCTTTGGGATATGCTTTTATTTTGAAAGTCTGTGTCACCGTCAAACAGTTGAGAGAAAGACGATGAGGATAACGTTTATTTAATCGGGAATACATCAGTAGAGTGGAAATATTTCGGATTTCCGTGAAAATACAGGTCAACAGACAGAGCACATAGCTATGTAAGTAATGCTGTTATGAGAAATAAAATGACGTAAGGT